AAAAAAATGCTCCCTTCAGAAGAGTATTTGGCGAGTGTACGTATACGTTCGATAAATTCTCGTCATAATAATACATTTATATGGGTAGACACTATTGAAATAGAGCTCCAGAGAATCCAGGACCTGCTTCGAGAGAACGGATATCCGGACCGATTCATCATAAAGAATATGATGGAGAGAAACGAAACCCACAAAACCCACTGTGGAAAAGAATACCCTATTCCTCAAAGTCCCTTTTCAAGGAGATGCGGCAAGCGAACTCCTAAGCAGACGCCTCAGCCAAACCGTATCACGAACCTTCCAGCAGCGAAAGTTCGGATGTTATTCTCGACCAACCCGGTCCTGCACGGCGAAGGTAAGGATAGGCTGCCAGCTCAGACCACTTCTATGTGCATCTACTCATTTACTTGCTCCTGTGGAGCAGGTTATGTCGGTCGGACGAGTCGGCGCTTATCCAAAGGAATACGGGAGCACCATCCAGCATGACTGAGCAAAGGTGAAGTCAGAAGCATCAACAACGCCATCCTTGCTCACATGGTTGACTCCGGACATCGTGTGCACTCCAAAGAAGCCTTTAAGGTAATTTACAAGGTTCCGCCAAACTACCCAAAGTCTCTGGGTCATCGCCTGCTAGCAACAGCAAAAGCGACCACTATCACGTTGCTGAAGCCGGCGTTGTATGCAAAAAAGAACTTCGTGCAAGCTCCGCAGTTAGCGTGGCAAACAGACACTTAGCTGCATGCACTCATCTGCGTTCTGTTTGTCTCCCGCCCCTCCCTCCCCCAGACGGGCTGCATCAAGGCCTCCCCGCGTAACCACCCTTCTCTTATCGACTCCTTTCCCCGATTCCCACGACTCACTTGAAAGAAAAAATGAACATTATTGATCTCTTGTTTAACTTATACCCCTGCCCATATAAATGTATTGGCCTTGCGAGAATTTATCGAAAGTATACGTACACCCGCCAAATACTCTCATGAATTCTCTGATGGGAATATTTGCAACTTTCAATGCTCCCTTCCTTCAAAGTTTACTAACATGCTGTTACGTACTGGCTTTTGAATGAAAAATTACTCATCTCGAGTGAGCACAGCATCAATGAACATCCAAAAAGTGTACATTTTCTGCTTACTTTCCAGGAAAGTTCACATTTTATAGATGGGGAAAAAGTACTCCTTCACCAATTTTAATTTACGAATGAATGGGAAATTTGGCATGAAAGTAAAGATTTCTTGAAAAGTTAATCTTCTATGAATGCAATCAGTACAAGCGCTCGGAAGATTATCCATTCCTGTTTCAACCCCAAATAGTACAAAGACACGAAATTGACATGGGAACACTAGGTAAAGGGAAGTAGGAAGGGCAACTTACTTATTGATGAAACTCTCCAGACCCTTCCGTCGTTCGTCGATAAACTCACTGTCGAAGAGACCGTCATCGGCCCGGAAAGGAAGTTGTCGCTTCCAAGCCTTGCCTGGGAGTTTGGGAACGATGATCTAGATGATAAAGTATTATGCAGATAAGATACGCGCAGAGCAATTTTGTACATCACAATAACTAAAGCCTAATAGTGGCGTCTCCATTTACACTTACAGTGACAATAACCAGAAGTCGTTTAGCTAGCTATGGTATCCGCAGTGTCGCTAAGAGGACTTGCGTTAAGTGAGACAAACGACGACAGCAATGCAATTGGCCTTTCCTGCCTGAATATCAAATAA